TTGATTATCGTTATTCGGTTATGATCGAAGGAGAAGGAAAGAGTTGTTGATGGTCCAGACAATTCTGCTCATACGGGTTGGGATAGAAGGATCGGATGCATGGGAGTTTTTAGGAGGCTCAAATAGGATTGAGGAAGGAACAGGTAGTTGGAAACTTCTCCAACAACGAGGTTACAAAGAGGGCAGGGTTGTAGAAGAGAAAGATAGTGCGCAAAAGAGTATTATGGGGGAGAGTTTTGTATAATTCAATGTACAAACAAAGGTCACCGACAAGCACAGCATCACCAATCATCATCATCACCATCACCATCACTATCATCATCGCCATCATCATCACCACTAGCACCGCTGATACCAGCGGCAATACCGATGTGTACACCATTTTACTAACCATGCTCCACTAATTCAAGATGTTACCACGAATGTTTCAACTCTGTTGATCATCCGATCGGAAATATTTTTAAAGATTCTATCAAATCCTCAATGCTACGCGATTATCATCTGGTTTTTGAATTGAGATTAGGATTTATTATGATATCAAGAACTTTATCTGTCACACAGTGTTGTCATCACACTCTCTAATCTTCATCTCAAAGTGTCATTTCAAAAATTCCTCATTCATTCTTCATAAAATTTCACTGTTTACAAAAGAATTTCATTGTATCGACAGTTGAAAAATCGTCTATTTCAAGGCACATTTGTAATTCGAGTAGCCTGTATAACCTCCGGAAATTCGACTACAGTGATATGAAGAACTTATTATGATATGATAAATTTTATCAAATTTAAAATTCTGCTGGAATTCTAACTTGCTAAAAATTTGTTTATTTTGTATACAGCAGCACTTCCACTTCATAATTGCTTCATCAGGAATTTCCTCGCAATCTTTTAATTTTGAATGATACCATGGTATCTGGGAATTCTGAATATCCGAAATAGCACTCGTCACGCCATCTTTAAAAACAAATCAAATTTCATTATTTTAAAAATTAAGCCTTTTCACATGAGATTTCTGTTAGTATCATAGATGGATGTGTTGTATCAATCGATCTGTCTCATCACACTAACACAAATTAGTTTAGTATTAATGATCGCAACATTTTCTTATATTGTTATACGCTATGCTTCAATCACGTTTAGCATATCGGATTCAGTTGGCTTTTTCTACATCATCTATAACAGTGGAAGGAAACGGCACTTCCAATTTGTGATGCTTAAGTTTGTTTAGCTAATTAATCTAATTATGACTTAAAGTATAGGTTTGATATATATCATCGTAAAATTTATTCAAATTACTTAAGCTATTATCAGGATCGGAAATACCGTTTGGCTGCTAGATTTTCAAGTTCTCATCCGGATTGTTTGATGAGGAATGACTGATGCAATATGATATCAATCGCTGAGAGTACTCAAAAGTTGCAGCTTAATGAAAAAAATGACTGCTATTAAAGGTGATGACAAAGTCGCATGTATTACTGATTGCGCTCAGTTTACTCCTTACTCTCTCTCTATGTCATACTCTGAAAGATGGCAACAACCGCTAATCAGAGGTGACAATAATAATTATTTTTTCGCTTTCTTTTACAATCATTCAATGAAGCCGTAACAACGATAAAATCCTAACGCTATCACCAAGTAAGATATTCTCATCGAATACAACTGTACGCACTCACATACTCACACATACACACGCATACACATACACGTACACACTCGCATACATTTACAGATGCATGTATGTTCAGTCATAAGAAGCTGAAGAGAATAATGAGGTGAATGATGGCTGATCGCACTAATTCTACTTCATATTTTTATCAGCGGATAAATATAGTAAATGATTGATAGTGTACTCGTAGAAGAGTGACATCGATGGTATTTCATGCATGTAAATAAATGATTAAGTTAGCATCTGACAGTCGAATATTCTAGCCAAGTTACTCTCATAATGTACTACAAAAAGGCATATTAAAACTATCGTGCAATTCATGTTACATACATTACATATACTGATCGTGCTTAACACACATTTGTGGTGGGTACAGTTTTCCATAGAATTCTCTTTGAATTTATTATCGATACAGCAGGAAATGTGAAAGATTTCTGTTTGATTCTATACTCAGTTTTTTATCAATCTCAGAATGTTCATCCAACATGTCTTCTGATTTTTGAACAGGGGCGGAAAAATATGTTAAGATGTCGCTGTCAGAATATTTCTTTCAGGATTTTCTGTTTTCTTCTTATTTACAATTTTAATATATAAATAGGAAACAATGCAATGCTTTAATTATTACTGAATATAAAATGAAGAAACGTTAAATTAAATGATTTTTTTTTTGTTTTTAAATGATAATTCTTCAGCACAGAGCTTTCTCCAATCTCTCTCTCCCTCCTTCTCTTTTTCTCTCTCTCTCCCTTATTACAATTACTACGAGGTTACTGGAATATATGTATACACACGGTAAACAGTTTCATCTGTCCGAATTTTAATGTCAATATGTTTGTTTATCCTTCACTTTCATTAGTATTCCCTTCAAATATATAATTTTATCATTAAAAGTATACAAATTTAATTGCTATACTTTTAATTATAACATTAAAGATAGTTCAAATTATGTGGAAGATATTGCCGAAGAAGAAAATTTCCATGTTCATGTCCGTGTTTACATGTAATCCATAATGCAATTATATTTTAAATTCAAAATTTATTAGACATCAGTTGTAAAGAAAAAACAACCGTACTTTGTACAGATGCTTATTGTTTTATTGACATAATGTTATAGTTGATAGCCACTGGTCATTCCCTGTGCAAGAATAATGTTAAAAAGTTAATAAAGGTAATTCGGTCATTTTTCTCTCATCAGTCAGATTGAAATGAACGGGATATATGCAACATACTTTTGTTTCGATGGTAGAAAAAAATTTTTTTTGAGATACTTTGAAGATACGTTATGTCGATTTGTCTATTATAAATAAATATTAAAAAGAATTTCGTTCCATTCCCACAACAATCTCATAATCTATCTATTATTATCATCTTTTTTTTATGTACAAACAGTAAAAAAAAGTTTCCCTTTCCGAAGTCGTTTTGTGTTATCCTTAAACAATCTTCTCATTTCTTTCTCAAAATAAAATTTTTCAAAAAAAAACTTAAAAATATAAAGATATTTTGCTACTGATGTGAAGTAAATAAAAATGAAAAATGAAAGCTGAACAGAATTTTGAGGATAACATTGACTGATTGCTAATATTTTCACAATTCTTTTTAACTGAAAAAGTTCAGAGAAAGTTCAAATCATTTCACATTTCAAATCGTTAAAATTAACTTTTTTTTTTGGAATTGACTTTTTCTTTCATTTTTCATTGGTTTCATTTTTTTAGCTGCCGAGGTTAAATTATTGTCGGTACAGTTATCTTTTATTGCATGTGACAAAAGAGTTTTAAAAAAAAGAAAAAAAAAACGATGATATGGCGCGCAACAGATCTGCTGGTGCAAATTAACCTTTGCTATTAGTTATTAATGAAAAATGATATTCAGGTATTGTAGACGTCGTGAACTTTTTTTACCTGTTGATATTTGTTTGTTAGAGGATGGGTTCACTTATCTTATGTCTCAATACCTTTCGACCTTTTCTTCTTTACCCTTTTTAAACCTTCAAAAGAAAGAAAAAGAAAAAAAGAAAGGAAAGGTTACAAAAAGGAAGGAAAGATTAAAAAAAGGAAAAAAAAAACATATTACTTACATTCCTTCACATATGAAAATTTTTGCTTCCATTTCTCAATGTACCTTTCAACCTTTTCCCCCTTTTTCAATAAGCTAAAAAAGAAATGCCGACATGTCTGCGACGAAGTTGAAGAAAATGTTTGTATGGGTGGATGGATGGATCATCTATTTAATTAATGTTGAACTTTTCCAATAAAACACCACGTGACTTAAGTGCTTATGACCGATGTAATTCACAGATTAGATTTGTGTAATCGATGGAATGCAAGAATGATAATCACACTCGAAGTTTATCACCCTTTTGCTATCGTAGATTTGATTGATTTTGATAAAGAAGAGAGATTGAGGAATAGAAGAAAATGATCGCCTTTGATGGTATGAAAATTTGGAGGAAATCGAAATTGAAATAATAATGAATGAATGAATTTCAATGAGCCATTATAATTGAGCACAAATGGTATCGTTGTCACTCATATCATAACTCTTTCCATTCTAGAAATTATCATAGAGAGAACAATAAATAATTTTGATGAACGATATAATAATCTGATAGATTAGGAAAGAGTATGCAACGGTGGCGGCAGCGGTCGTTTGTAGAAGACGCGGGAGGTGGTGGAAAAGGGGAGGGTTAAAAGAGAGTGGCCACTGGTTTGGAACGTTTCCATTGTTCGTGTGAGATGGATCGGTGGAGCTGGTAGCAGTGATAGTATTGGTGGAGCTGGTAGCAGTGATAGTACTGCTGAGGCCGCTAGTCCTAGGCAACAATGGTACGGTGCGGTGCGGTGCGGTGCGGCGTGGCAGTGCGGTGCGGCGGTGCGGCGGTGCGGCCGATGCGGTGCATTTGCTTTCTTTGTTTCGTTTACTTTTGATAAATTATATTCTCCCCTTCTCTCCCTTCCCATGCTACCCTATCCTTTTCATCTAACTTCCAGAAGAAAATTTTTCTTTTTTTGCTCATTTGTTTCAATTTACATACGATGCATTCATCAAAAAAGAAAGTAAATGAGCGGGAAAAAACACATTGTGATATATTTTGAGGCAAAGAGGAAAGTATACTCGATGATATTCCTTTACCATTATAGTTATTGTTACAGTTGCTGCCGATGCTACAATTACTACTTACTATTATTTACTACTTATTACAGTCAATTTCTGTTATCATTTTTGAGCAAATTTAAGATAAATTTTCGAATAAATTCTGTATTTTTGAAATGATGTTAAATTTCCTGGCTACAAGTCATTTAACAATAGTAAATAGGTCAAGAATTTTTAAAGTATTATGAAAAAAAAATTTTTTTTCTAAAATATTTTGTCCAATTTTATTAAACAATTCTGCTTTTTTCAAGACCCTTCTTTTATGTGTGGTAAATTGCTATAAAATTAAAAATAAATAGCATGCTGTATTATTTGATGGATTGGTACCTGGTATGTTTCATCGATAATAGTTAATTATTCCACATGGTACTGTAAATAAAAGCTTTTCTTTTCCATCGATAATAAATTGAAGTTTCGAAATTTACAACTGAGAATTTATACACTGAAAAAATAAAGTTCTCACATACTGAGCTAATTTATGACAGTTAATCCGAATTAAAAAGAATGAAAACAATAGTTAAAGGATGCTTGGTATATATATATATATAAATGTTCGTATATACTTGACAAGTCTAAGGATAAATAATAATACCGTGCTATAATGGTCACAGAATAGTTTTTTGTCTTTTTGTAAATGACAGTTTTTCTTTAACTAAAGCAATTGCTCTTTTTCGCGTGACTCATTCTGATATTGTCTCACTCATTTTACATCCACGACGGAAAATTCCAAATTATAATACAGAGAGAGAGTAACAAACGATCATTGCTACATTATCTCTGTTTATAAACACTCCTACACACACGCACACACACACACACACACACACACACA